CAGGCCGTCTCAAGGGTGTGATGGTTAGGTCAGTGACCACCGGCGTAGCCGCAGGGTGTACGTGTCCCGGCTGGCATACTTTCCTCGTACATACGAGACCGTCATCGGCGGTAGCACTATGCCCAGGTGTAGGTAGGCCGAACATCCAGGCTGCCGTTGAGACGTGAATTACCCAACAAGGAAATTCTATCGGCGTAAGCGATAGTTTCTCGTGCCAGAGACTCCCAGAGACAGAGCCCATCGTTGCTTGACCAGTAGCGCGGCCAGACGCCAATCTCCGCGACATGCGCTGTCTCTTGCACCTTTCGGCAATCCTCGACTGCTGACCAAGATTGAAGACCTGAAAATTGCCAAATACGGCAATTTCTCGGTCACGCCCTGCGTCCTTTCGCCCGAGGATGGACCCGCAGGGGTAATCTCGCGGGCGCTTGTCGTGATGCCTGGCTTAGCACGTCGAACACCCGCAGCATGATTGCATGATTTCGTAATGCATTCCATGAACCCGCTGAGCTGTCAAATTACCAGAAGCGGCAATTTTGGGCATGAGGAACGCGGCGAGTCACCTGCGGCTGGCGGCCGCAACGAAACAATGCCGGGAACTCGGAGTAGTGCGTCGAACCAGTGTTGACCACTGGTGTGATCCTGTGCCTTATCCCTGACCCCCTCGAGCCCTTGAATTACTCACAAAGGTAATTTTGGGTCGAGAATGAGGCGAGAGGAACGGGAAGGCGAGGCGGACAGTAAGGAGAACCCTCGAGAATCGGCAACGGGGTTGCGAGGCGTCCCATCGGGCAGTCAGAGATTCTCGACATCGATTGTAATCGGGATCGGCAAGGCGCAAGACAGCAATCAGCGGTGAACAGGTCACCATAAACGGCAATGAACTGGGGAAGTTAGCAACACTATTCCAGCAAGAGAACACCGGAGCGTACTGTGCAAGGCGCGCTGTACTTGGCAGAGGCACAACGAGTGCAGGTAACGGGAAACAGATACCTCTGCCGTCCAGGCACCGGGTTAAGCTGTTGTAAGAAAAAGCCGTGGTTTCTCGTGTGGTTGATAATCGCGAAAGGGAGTAAAATGTTGACGCTGAGCGAATGTCGTGGACTGTTGATGTGGCTTAGCTAAGTGGCGCAAATAAGTGCTGCGAGAAGAAAAAGATACGAAGGAAACTTGAAGGTACATTGGCGCGTTGGGCGGGGCAGTCGCTCATTTATGGGCTGGCAAAACCGGCGAGGGATTGCGTGGCCGAGAATTACCCGATGTGGCAGGTGCCAAAAATGGCATGTCAGGACCGCCATTTCCGAAGGCAGGCAAGCCG